TTTAAAAAAAAAAAAAAAAAAAAAAAAAAAAAAAGGCTTCCCCCCCCACCCCCCGCAAAGAAATACAGAATTACAGTATTATTAAATCATTTAGCACTGGCAACCTGCCCTGCCTTCCAGACAAACAAAACAACACAAAGCCACTTTAAAAAGTATTACATTATCATTAACTGTTTCTCTGTAATATATTAAACCTTTTGTTCTTTGTCTTTACACACTGATATGTTAGAGGAAGAAGCTAACAAATTTAAATCATACTGGTGCAGCATCACGAGAAGAAAAGTGGTAATTATTTTAAAAAATGACCAACAGAAGGGAAACCTACAGACTGGCTGCAAAGACAGGCTGGGAAAGCGTCTGGGAGAAGGGCGTGGAGTAAACCCCTGGTTTAACGGGAGCCTGGGAGGCTCTGGCAACTCAGCCTTTGTTGGTTAGTTTATTTTTAAGCAGCGCGCAGGTGGGTCATAGCGGTGTGTCACAGCAGTCTGGCAGCTGGTCCCCCGGGCACTGCCGCGGCGGCGGCTGCACGTGGAGCTGTGAGGGTGGCGGCGGTGGCGGCGGCTGCTGGTGTTTCATGATCTCTTTGACCTCCTCCTCCAGCTCCGGGGGAATGATGAACTGATCATCAGGATCCGGCTGAGCCGGCGCTGCAAAATAGCCCCCCGGCTTGCGGAGAGGCGCGTCCGTGGCCACCTCTATCACGTTGTGGCTCCGCTCCTGGGGCGCCACGGAGCCGTTAGCCCTCCGGCGCCCCATGGTCCCCACGGCGGCACAGTCCGCCCTCCGGGGCAGGGCCGGCTCGTCCTCGTTGGCGCTGATGACGATGCCCTCGTCGCTGGCCGCGGCTGGCAGCTGCAGCAGGGGCTGCTGCCTCTCCTCCTTGGCGCGGCCGCAGTGGATGTCCACCTCCACCTCCACCCGGCTGCCGTTGGTGAAGACGCCCTCGATGGGCTCTTCGTCATCACTGTCGAGGCCGTTGTCGGAGAAGGCGCTGGAGAAAGTGGCGCTGGACAGCTGGCGCTGGAAGGAGCTGGACGGGCAGGCGGGGTGCAGCGAGCAGCGCGGCTCACTGGGGCAGGCGGGGCTGCTCTCGCTCAGGGCGCCCGGCGGGGGCTCGTCCGAGGCCGTGGACCCCACCTCGCTGCTCATCTCGGACGTGGAGAGCTCGCTGCTCATCTCCGAGGCCAGGCCGCTGCTGGACGACGGCACGCCCAGCCCGTCGGCGGGCCGCTCCTTGATGACCATGCTGACGGAGGGCGGGAAGGTGCCGGGGCTGGGCGGCGGCACGGGCCCGCCGGTGCCGAGCTCGCAGCAGCAGAAGCTGTCCTCGGGGACGCTGAGTTGCACCACCACGGCGCTGACGCTGTCGCGGCAGCCGTAGCTCTGCGCCAGCGTGCACAGCTTCTTGGCGGCGGCCAGGGCGTCGGGGACGTTGCGCACGGCCCCCACGGCCTCCTCGACGGACAGGCTGTCCCACAGGCCCTTGCTGCCCAGGATGAAGAACTCGTCCTGCGGGGTCAGGGCCACAGACTGCACGTGGGGGCGGGGCACCACGCTGGGGTGCAGGAACGTGTAGCCCAGGATGCGCGTGGACTCGGTCACTCCGTTCACTTTGCCATCCTGGAAGAAGAGGGGTTTCCAAACAGACGTTACCACGGAGCACGCGAGGCGACGTGCGGCTTCCCTGGGGCCTCCTGCCTGGGGGACCACCGGAGCGTGACACGCGGTCCACAGGGGGAGGGGCTGCCCACCCTCCTGAGAGTGGTTCATGTGCACCTGTCATCAGAACCCTGGGGCAGAAGCCCGGGGCAGGTAAGAAGCAGGAGGGACAAATGGAAAGTATCTCAGTTACTCCCTTCATTGGGACCCGTCTATCTCCAAAGCAGACCATCATCTGGCACAGCAACATGGCCGATTAGCACCTCCTGGAACCCACGGGGGTCCCGAGAGAAGAGCCTTGCTGAATGCGCCAGTGCCGAGCAGCCCCCGAGGCAGGTACGTTCCAGATAACGCCCAGAATCTTAGGTCACTCCCCAAAGCACATCAACCATCAGGGGCGGTAATGTCTGAAGGTCCAGAAGTGAGGGGAGAGGCACTGTTTTAAACGTAAGAAGGTTAAAAACAATTGGTGGGGAAATCTTGGGATGACTAGCTGGGTACAACTGATCGTGTTTGGAGAGGCAGATGCTTAAGGAGAAGTGCCAGGTCCTACCGCTTCCCTGAACTCACTTTCCTGGCAGCACATGGAGACGACAAAGTCTCCTGCTTCAGTCCAGCCCGGTTCACGCCACTTAAACCACGAACCAAAGTTTCAGACCACTTGCCAATAAAAAGCCTTTACCCTGAAGCTGGAGGAGAGGAGGGGAGATGACCCCAGGGTGTGCCTGCTCGGTTCTTTATTCTTCAAGTTCGAGGATCTCGGGTCTAGGACGTGCCTCTACGTGCCCCTATTTTTAACATCTTTTCCAGAGGAGGCTCCATTCGGACAACTTTCATGTGTGTCTGGGATGAGGGAATAGTGATGGTCTAACCGTCTCCCTCGAAGCCAGTGTTTCTTCTGGAGAATACCCATTCCCTTCCCAACCCTACCACGCTCCTTCATTTGGGAGTACAGCCCCCAGCTCCGCAGACAATCCCGCCACACATACAAGCAGGCAGCACAATTCGAAGTAAAATTACTAAAGAGGGGCTTCAAGCACAATTTTCAACTCTCTTAATTCTCCTAATATATTTGCTCTTCCCCAAAATGTGGAATTTCGGCAAAAATTACCCTCGCTGTTCTGCCCAACCCTTTAAGATCTCACCACATCAGAATCAATGATTTTGTCTGTGTGTGTATGTCTGTGTTTGGGGGGGGCATACCTCAAGGCAGGGAAATTAAAGAAAACCAATGCAGCGATACAGACAAAGCGAGGAAGAGGGAGGCAGAGAAAGCAGGAGAAACCTCTGAAGCACCAACAGTGACGCATTTATGTAGCAGAAATGGTTAATCTTTGCATCGTGTACAGTTGAACATTTAATTCAATACGTTTAATAATTTCATTCAACCCCATCTGAGACTGTCTAGCGTCCATTTTAATCCTCTGCTCTTAGAACAAGCAGGGAACTAAAATCTACACGCGGCCTCCTTTGCCAGACCCTCGTGGTGGAGCCCGAGTCTTTATCTTTCTCACGGCCCTTGTCAAAGCCTCTACCGGGAGTCACAGTCCTTCTCTACTGAGCTGCAAACGTTCACCACTGTTTACCCAAGCTACACATGCTTCCAGGGGTTTTATCCACAAGACTGGACACCTCCTGGGGGCAGACGTGTGTCTCCGGGGATCACGTCTGTAGGCCACATCACGTTTCAGGCACGCAGCAGGTGAGCCACACTGTAGGATGAGCTAGTGAGTGGAGCACAATTCCTCCAGCCCACTTTGGAAGCTGCGCTACAGGGAATCTTCTGTCACGAAGACTGACACCCGTGTTTCTCAACAGCAGCACTCTTGACATTTTGGGCCAAACCATTCTTTGCTGTGGGGCTGTCCTGTGCACTGTAGGATGATTAGCAGCATCCCTAGCTTCTACCTGCTACATGCCCCAAGCATTTCTGTTGTGACAACAACAATGTCCTCGGACATCAGCAAGTGTCCTGTCGGGGGGAGATGGCCCCTGGCTGAGAACCGCTCACTGCCTTACTCAAGTGGAGCAGATGGCATGAACCAAAGTAACTCCTCCTTACAGGTACACCGATGCGCACACTCGCCTCGTAAGACAGGACAGACACACGGCTATGCCCACTTTACGGAGGACGAGTCTGAGGCTTCAAGGTTTCAAGGTCGTAGCCCGCAAGCTGCAGATCTAGGACAGGAGGACCAGCGGTGTGACTCCAGGGCTGGAGGCTTCAGCCCCCCGCCGAAGTGCCTCCGAAGAGCGGCTGTGAGGATGAGACGGTACCGTGGCACAGCCCTCGATGCGGAGAGGCCGTTGATAACTATTTTATTACTCTGTATATTATAATGTCTCCAGACACATCACACACAGAGTTTGCTCTGTGATACTCCGGATGTGGAATTTTAATTTTAAACCAACTTCAATGTTTAAAGAATGTTCTTTGGCGGGAAATGCTGCCTGGCTGATTCTGCCACGACCCTGGCCCTGTCCTCCCCCATCCTGAGGAAAATCCGTCTTCCTTACCTCCGTGATAATGGCCTTGTGCCGTTTGATTCTCTTCAGTTCTTCCTCACAGCTCATAACATATGATCTGGACAGAGGCAGCGGCTTCCCATTCCGACAGAGAACCGTTTGGCACTTGCCCACATTAGCAGAGGTCAAGGTGAAGGGTCCTCCTGGGTCCACAGGGTCATGCTTGACATGACAAAGGACAGCAGCACCTCCAAGTTTCTGCCCAGCAGTTCCAAGCTTCCTGGAAAACGAAGAGACGGGGTAAAAACCCACACACACCCGTCACGTGTAGTTTTGCCAGACTGTACCACTGGACGGGGCTAGGAGGAAAAACAGAACTTGGGGCTCCACCAGGCCTCTTTCACCAAAGCAGGCACTGATCAACTCAGGAAAAGAGCCTGTGGAATCTGACACACACATACACACACACACACACACACACGGAGAGGTGTCTGCTCACAACTGGGGCAGGTGTCACTTCACCACGAAAGACTCAAGGAGCTGCTGTGGAATCAAGGAGCCCTTATCCTGCTGCATCCAGCCTGCCACTTCCGTATCGGCGTGCCCCAAAGACAGCGGGAATGACCGCTTCTTTCTTCATCACCCTCTCTAAATCCCCTCTGCTCCCAAGAGAGGACAGCCGGAGTGACCACTTAACAGAAGCAGGTGTAAACACACTACACCCACTGACACTTCAGAATTACCTGACCACCCTCTCGCTTTATTAGGATGTTTGGGGGGACATGCTTTCAAGTACTGGACCATTCATGTTCTTGTCCTATACAGTGCAGACTTTCTAGATGAGTGATGTCTATTCTAGAATATTCACAGAAAGGATATTCTAGTAATGAAGCTCCAAAGTGCTTTTATTCACCATCAGTCCATACACGTATTGAATACACAAGACACCTGCAAGTTCTAACAATCAAAAGGAGGTAAGAACTCTTATCAGAAGCCCCACAGATGGCAGTGCCTCCCAGACGGATCCTGAGTGGTACAGAAGGTTAAGATGGACAGACTCCCTTGTTTACAAGGGCAGACCCTGTCTAGGTTAGGCAAGGGGCACCACTAGCGATGGAAACCAGGGCTGCCTGTTCATATAAATTAGGATGTCAGGCACAGAGAACATACAGTTCTCCCGAGGACTGAAAAGATCACCACACACCCCATATCCTGTTAACCAACAGGGAAAATAAGAGACAAGAAAATGACCTAGAGATGGGCTGACAACCTGGGTCTCTAAACTCCAACTTCTGCACATCTACGACCAGACTGGACTTTAGGCCCTGCCAAGGCAGCACTGCTTTCCTCCTGTCAAAGGCACAATGATTCCTCCCAGCAAAGCCAGAATTTGGATGGTGTTTGTGAGAAGTACAGCTAGTAATCAGAGTTTGAGGTTCTTAAGTTCTTAATTCTTATCCAGTGTTTGGGGGTCTATAAAAAGCAGACCTCTTAGGAGTGTGTGAAGGGTGTGTGTGTGTGTTATGTGTGTCTGTATGTATGAAATGTGTTTGCTTTTTTCCTAAAACAAGATGGTGGTCAAAACAGAAAAGTAGATAGATGTGTAGATAGATGTCCCTGTCTTATACCTTATGGCATTAAGGTATTTAGAACAATGACTGGTATATATTAAGGGCTCACTAAATATTAGTTATCAGCATCCATTATTAACTGCACATGCCCACTGAGAATCTGAAAGACAGCTGAGTCGAGCAGCAAAGAACCCCAGTAGAGGGCTTGCCTCTACTGAGCTCTTCAAGAGTATTCATGACTTAGGGGAACTTTCAAGGCTTCTCTGGACCAGCATTCCTTAGCAGACACTTTTTCTACTCCTGCTGCAAAGATACTTCCTCTGGCAGATTATCAAGGCAGGGAAAAGGGAGAGAAAGAGAAAGGATAGTCATTGTTCCCATGACCTTTAGAGCACTCCCCACTTCCTGGTCCCACAAGAGCAAGTGTTTGCAATACAATATTAATAGGCAGTTCCTTTACAACCTACAAAGCCTTTAAAGTGACAAAAGAGCGAGCAATTCTTCGAATGTGGGAATGTTCATAACATGCAGCCCTCAGAGTTAGAAACAGCATTCCACAACTTCCACAGTGACCAAAAGCTCTAGGGAATGGCCTAGGATTCTACTAGTAACACTGTCTGAACATTTAATAAAGGGGGAAAAACAATATATGAAGAATGATTTAACTCCTGGCCTAAAATTTGACCATTTCAAGTTCTCAAAGGTTGGCACTTCTTGAATCAGTGACAGTGTTTCATAAGGGGGAACAAACCGAGATGGAAATAGTCCACTGCAAAGAGCAATCCACACGCCAGAAGGTCTAAAGAGCGTCTGGCCCTCACATGATTTGGGGTGAGGGCAGTGTGTCATAAACAATCTGGTGAAAATCTGGAATCACGACAGGCCTATGAGACCAGTTCTAGGAGAAACAATTCCTGTCACTGACTCGGCCTCCAACAAAGTTGTCTGAACATCAGTGTGTCTCAAACGAAACACAGTCCAGCCCTGATACTTGGGCAAAACCAAATCGCCTGAATGCATCTTGAATAACGCATATTCAACAATAGGCTTTGAGATTACTGGACACCTGTTTTTCTAACCAGATGGCAAACACTCAAAGAAGAGCAAGAAAACACAGGGCAGGTGCTCTACGTTTTACCTTTGCATAACAATGAACGTATTGACCATGTATTCTTCTTCGTTTTTTGTTTTCTGCAGCTCTTCTGCCAAAATGTCACTCATGGTACACTGGAGAAGGTAGGGCACCTCCACATTCCGGTCTCCATCAAATACACCATACAGGGCCTCCCGGTTGTCACGGAAGTTATTCACCGACAGGGCTGCAACACACAACCTGCAAAGCAAGAATGCTTTTGTGCTAAGCTGGCTCATCTTTCCTTCTCCATGCCCAACTCAGCTGTGTTTTTTTCAGATTTGCTTAATCCAGTCTTCTCTTTCTTCATGACTCCACATAGACTAAGAATAGGTAAACTAACCCCAGCTAATTTATATCAACTAATTTCTGTGAGTGAAGAAAAATGATAAGCACATATTTATACTTCATGGCTTTCCCCCACTCTTCTGATGATTTTATTTTTAAATGGTAGTGAAAGAAAGACAGTGGGAGGCATGGGAAATAACACCAGATTATGAATGCGTAAGTTCACATTCATTCACAAAACATTTATCAAGGAGAACTTCCACATGGAGCAAAAATGGAGTAACAACTAAAACACTAGGAAAAGTACAGGAAAAGTATATACTGATGGGGGGAGAGCTGCACAGTGTGCTCTAGAGGCTGCAGAGTCTCTCCACTTAATCAGACTGTTTCCAAGTAATGTTAACTGTGTCCCATAAATTGTCCAAAATGAATAAAAGACTAGGGGAAAAATTAAAAGCCAGGGCATCAGTAAGTGGTGAGATGACTTTAAGCAGCCCATCACACGGGGGATTGGAGTCTTCGAAAGAGAAGAGAGACAGAAAAAATTTCTGAAGAATCAACGGATGGAAATATTTCAAATCTGATGAAAACTGTAACCTACAGATACAAGAAGCTCAACAAACAGTAAGTAAAACAAGAAAAAAAACTTAACTGAGGCACATCAAAATCAAATTGCTGAAAACCAAGGATAAAGGTGGGGTTTGGGGAGTAGAGAACAACATATCCTACAGAGGAACAAAGGACGAATGACAGCAGAGTTCTCATCAGAAACAATGCAGAAGACAGCGGAGCAACATCTTTAAGGTACTGATAGGAAGAAACTGTCAACCTGGATTTCTAAACCAGTGAGAACAGCTTTCAAAAGTAAAGGTGCAAAAAAGACATTTTCAGACGCACAATAAAAGACAACCACTACAAGAAATGTAAAAGAAACTACATGAAACAGAAGAAAATGATACTACCAGATGGAAATCTGGATAAAAGAATGAAGTGTATTGGAAATGACAAATACGTGAGTAAATATAAACATTTTCTTTTTCTTATTTTAAAAATCACTTTAGAACAGTGGTTCTCAATGGGGGAAATTTTGCCCCCAGGAGACATTTTGGCTTGTAACGATTGGGAGTGGTGGTGATATTGACATTTATTGGGTAGAGGCCAGGGGTGCTGCTAAATATCCTACAATGCACAGGACACCCCC